CAATGCAAAGGGCAAGGTTATATGATACTAATTGATAGATACCAATTAAAACTTTACTCAAAAGCATGTCTTGCCCTTGCAAATGTCCCCATGTGATATTATGGATTAAAGCCTATCTTTCTAAAAAAAATTCTCCCATTACATAGACTAATCTATAATTCACTTTCCTCCCTTTCTCGGACCATTACCACTTATAGACATCAACTTGATGCTTGCTTTTGGTCCTTCAAATTCTCCCCCTTTGACATCAAACACTAAAAAGGAAGACATTAGTAGCATAAGGGAGGGTCAAATTTCATGATCCTTTGTGTATAGAGAGAAATGGATCACAAAATTTGACTATCGCATTATATAGACTAAGCTCCCCCTAAATATATGCATACATATGGTAGAAAGCAAAGCATATGCATAATTAGCAATTTGTTGCACAAGAGAGTTTAATCTATATAATGCATGGAGAAAGCATATAAATATGAAATGAAATCAACATGATGATGCTAATTGAAGACCGATGCTTCTCTTCGGGGACTCCATTTTCCTTGCAATGAGACTACTACACATATGATAAACTTGAAAAAAGGTGTTAGTCTCAAAGCGTCCATCTTGTAGATGATCCTCCCCCTAAATTTGTGCATGGAGAGATGGAATACTTGTAGTACTCATGCACAATTGATTTTGGAGTCAAAATACCACTTGAAAGATGATATTTGGGAGAAAATTATCTACAATTTGGACTTTGACACATATTAGATAAACAATAGTAAGACAAGCTATGTGCCGTGCTCCTAAGCAATTTTAAACCATGTAGGTTTGCTCCAAGGGTTACAAATGAAACCGAGCAAGCCTACCATATGAAATACCTAGTGTATACATGACAAAAGATATAAGCATGCAAATGCAACCCTAGGCATGAGGAGTAACTAGATGCTTAAAGATACCAATTGTAGGAAAATCTAATTACAAGATGTACCAATTAAAAAATAATAACATCTAATTACCTAACATGGGAAGAGGAATTTAGGTCCATAGTATCCACTAACCCACTTGGCAATGACTTTGTCCAACATGATGTACCCCATGAAATGCACCCATACTTTGCCAAGACTCCAAATTCCCCGAGGACCGACGGACTTCTTACTTCCCTTTCGGGATCCAAACCTTCTTGGTGCTCTTCATGTTAGAAATGATTTCCTTTGGCACCCAAAAGCATTTGACCCCATTGTTTGCTTGCTTGTTCACCTTGATGGCTACCACCTTATCATTTTTCTTCTTCTTCAAGAGATAAGGTGTGGAGGCCTTCTTGTCCACCTTGTTGGTGTAGGTGTTGGAGAGCTTGCTTGTTTGCTTTTTCTCCTTCTTCTTTGCTCCTCCCTCATTCTTCACCTTGCACTCATAGGACTTGTGGCCTTCTTTGTGACACACGTAGCAAACCACAGTTTGTCCTTCATCAAGCTTCTTCACTCCATTGACGGTGTTATCTCGATGAAGTTGGGTTTGCTTCGCCTTGCCTTTCATTTGAGTCAAGTCCTTGGTGAGGCGAGCTACTTCTTGCTTGAGTTGCTCATTCTCTTTTGCAACCTCTTGTGTGCATGTATCTACAATCACTTTCTTAACACAAGTTTGGTTGCACAAAGGTGAGTCTAAACATAAATCGTTGCAAGAGGTAGATGCATCCTTTTTAATTATGTCATTTCTTTTAGATGCCTTGGTGGGGGTATTTTTTACGGCCTCAAGATTAGCAACTTGATTTGTTAGATCATCACAATGTTTGCACATGATTTCCATTTTAGCAAGCAAACTTTGATAATCATTTTGTGAGCTAGCTAACTTTTCTTTTAATTTTTCATTTTTCTTTTCAAGTTGCTTATCATTAATTGTGCATGCACTTGTTGTTGCACTAGCCTCAAGTTGCTCAATTTTAGTAGATAGTTCAACATTGAGATTTGCAAAGTTTTTATATTGTTCAAGCAAATTCTTGTATGCTTCTTGTGAACTACCTAGCTCTTCTTTTAAAGTTTTGAGCTTCTTTTGTTGACTAGTGCAAACTTTAGCATATTTAAGATTTTGTTGTACAATTGTATTGTAAGAAGGCAAATCATCATCACTATCACTCTCACTAGAGGATGAGCTTTTGTTACCTCGTGCCATAAGGCACACACGAGAAGAGCTTGATGATGAGTGCTTATGACCTCGCCTTTTGTGATGGTTTTCTTCTTCACTTGAAGAATCATCCCATAACCTTATTGTTGTGAGGGCTTTGTTTTTGCACGTCTTCTTCTTTGTCTTGGGTGTGGGCTTGTTTGGACAAACTTCCACAAAGTGCCCCATCTCGCCGCATCCGTAGCATCCTCTCTTTCTTTGCTCATTTCTTTGATTGGTGAAAATGAGATCTTGAATTTGGATGGGCACACTCTTGACATTGAGCCTTTGGATCATCTTCTCCACCTTGTTGATTAATTTGATTGATTCTTCATCAAGGTCGGAGGTGGAGGAGGAAGATTGATTATCATCACTTGATTCTTGTTCATCATCATCATCATCCTCATCTTCTTCTTTTTTACTTGAGGAGCTTGAGCTTGAGCTTGACTCAACTTTCTTGCCCTTCATCTTTTTCTTTTCGCTACAAGCGAGAGCTTTGCCTTTGCTTGATGAAGATGCTTCTCCTTGATCCATCTTACGTGACATTTCAAATGCCACTAGCTTGCCAATGACAATGCCCGGGGTCATGGTGCTCAAGTTCTCCATGTTGTAAAGGATGGTGATGATGCTTGCATATTTCTTTTATGGTAGAACGGAGATGATCTTCCTCACGATGTCCGCATCATCTAGCTTTAATAATCATATTAAATGGAGCTCATTGATAATTAGATTCAATCGAGAATACATATCACGAACAAGCTCATCATCATTCATAGCAAATGAATCATAATTTTGCTTAGCTAGACAATATTTTTGCTCACGGACATTACTTGTACCGTCATGGAGCTCTTGAAGTTTTAACCAAATTTCATGTGCCGTATTTAAGGTGAACACTTGGTTAAACACATCCATGCTAAATGATTCAAACAAGCAATTCTTAGCTCTAGCATTAAAATGCATTTCTTTTTCATCACTCTTTGTGGGTTTTTCGGGATTCTTGATGGGTTTCATCCCGTCACGAGCGACTCTCCATACACCCAAATCAACCGCCTCAAGGTGGCAAGCCATTCTAGCTTTATAGTATAGGAAGTTAGTGTCGTCAAATTGTGGAGGCCTAGCGGTATCCATCCCAACCACTCTACAATAGCGTCGGCTCAACGGCGGTTAAGCCAAAGGTCCAAATATGAGCCAACTGGCTCTGATACCACTTGTTGGACACGTGGACGCCTAAGAGGGGGGGGGTGAATTAGGCAACTTAAAAATCTAACTCTAAACTATGCCCTTTTTTTCTAACCCTAGCAAAACTTATGTAATAGACAAGCTATCTAGATGTGCAACTATAGTTTTGCTAGTGTGTTGCTATCTCTACTGCAAACGTAGTAAAGTAATCAATGTAAATGCGGAAGCTAAAGAGCAAGGTAGAGATATACAAACTCCTGTCGATGACTCCGATATTTTTACCGAGGTATCGAGAAGCGCGCAAGCTTCCCCCTAGTCCTCGTTGGAGCCCCTCGCAAGGGCCAAGCTCCCAGTCGGGTAACTCCGTGGATAGCCTCGGATCTTCCCCACGCGCAAGTGGGTCTCCGATGTGCCTCTCGGTAAGCCTCTCCCGGATGCTCCCCACCGTCTTCACTATCAAGCTTCCGGCCGAAACGCCGCGGGCCTTGTTCCTCCGGTACACGGTGGCGGCCACACCACAAACACGGTTGATATGATCTCGCAAGACTTCAAGCCCCTCCGATGTACAACACTTGTGCTCACAAGCACGGGGTGGCAAGAGGTATGCAAACCTCACTTAAACACTAGGCAAACACCTAGAGCAAGCGCATAAGCGGTGGTCTAATCAACCTAAGCACTTCGCAAAGCACTTATGCTAATCACCTAATAAAACACTAAGCACTATGCATGTGGAGATCACACAAATGGTGTATCAACACTCTTGATATGTTTCCTCAGCTCCACACGTCTCAAATGGCCGGTTGGGGGTTGTATTTATAAGCCCCACTGAGAAAGTAGCCGTTGGGGTCGAACTCCCGCAAATCTGCTACTGACCGGACGCTGAATCGTCCTGACCGGACGCGTCCGGTCGTCCCGACCGTTGCAACCGCGAACTACCGATCGGACGCTGCCAGCGTCCGGTCGCCTGCCACCGGACGCGTCCGGTCGCAGTTTCGCGCGCCTGGAACCTCTCTGTACTCGATCGGACGCTGCGTTCCTGCGTCCGGTCGGTTGCCGCCAGCGTCCGGTCCTTGCGTCCGGTCGCCTGTCTGCCGAGCCACTGGTCCAGCGTCCGATCGCGCTTCCAGCGTCCGGTCCAGCGTCTGGTCGCCTCTGCGAGCTCGTTTCTTCGCGATCTTGCGCACGGCTTGGTTCCTATCTTCATGCTTGGACTTTGCTTGACATCTTGGGTCTTTTCTTGTGCTTCTAAGGTCTTGCTTGAGGTGTTGATTATCAGATCATCATGTCGCCTTCGTCCAAGTCATGTCTTGCACCCTATTGGACTACAAAACAAACACTTACAAATTCATTAGTCAAATTTGATTGTGTTGGTCATCAAACACCAAAATCCAAAGTAAATGGATCAAGAGTCCATTTTCCTTACAGCTTGGACGGTTCGTTGACTCACTAGTTTCGAAATTAAAATTTCTATACCAAATACCAAAATATATTAATTCAAAATATTCTGATGCCGTGACACCAGTATTCCTCTCAAAGAGTCAGTGTGAGAGGAGAATCCCAATTTGTTTAGCACAATCAGATGCAAAACACTAATCACCGACAAACACGGTCAATGCCATTCAGAACCCAACTTGTGTACACCAACTTACAACAGCAACAGAATACAATCACTTGAAAACATTTCATAGGAAACTGGAAAGAAAATCCTTTATCCGATCGATGTAGGGCGACCGGGTGGGGATTATGTGGCCCATGTCATGCTCAACAACGGAGCAGCAATCCTGCTCGAAGAAACCAGCAAGTTCAGCGCTCGCCCTGTTTGCTATCTGCCTGTCATGACCATCCCCATTGCCAAAACAATGGAGCGAGGGGAGCTTGATTGGTTCGTTGCCGAAATCACCCACGGGTGCTGGATATCCGGAGCAGAACATCCCAAACCTGAACTTTGGAGAGCCACAGATCTTCTGCTGCTGCCTGCAGAATAAGGCAGCCATGGCAGCGCCCTGAGAGAAGCCCAGGATTCCATCGAAGCTCCCCATGCGAGAGATTGCATTTTCAAGGTAGGTGTATGATTCCTCAAAGCCTTCGGTTTGTTGCTGGTACTGAAGAGGGTCAAACGGCACATCTGCAGCCCTCCAGTCTTGCTCAGGGTTGCAGTGGGAGTTTGGAGCAATGAGCCATGCGAATTTCCGATTTGGTGTCACAGACAGAGGTGAGGGTTTGTCTGAGCAGTGGCCCTGGATTGGTTGATATACAAAGGAAAGCTCATGAGGTGCGTCTACAAAGACAAGCTCAGCGATGTGCTTCAGCTTCTTGGCAAGTGCTGATGTTCTTCCCTTAAAACTGGATGCGTTTTGGCGGAAACCATGCAAGCAGAGGATCCTCAACCTTTTCAGCTGCTCACTACCTGTGTAATATTTCATTTACATAGAGCAAGGTCAACCCTAAAAAGTACAAGTACATAAAGCTAATTTAGAGAACTGAATGCTTAATAGTTCAGACTGAATGCATTAGAGAATATCAGAATAAACAGATTATCCTGATTCAGTGGACCAAAAATGCAAATGACTCAAACCACATGCAGTTAAACTACTATTACTTCATGGTGAGCATTTCTAATGAATTTTTAATATCTTTTTTCAAGCCCAGCGCCCCAGCCCATGCATTTATTCTGTACTTCTGTAGCATAAGATGCACATATTTGAGTAAGAACATAAATAAATTATCATTCAGAGAGTGCAATGGAAAACTGATACAGACCTTACCATCACTCCAGGGAACTTTGTTAGCCACATTGTGATTGCTTATGGATGGCTTTTCAAAGCTTTCAGATAGTCCTATCTGTAGTTTGCAGTCTTGTCTTGCTGATATTTGGCAGGGTTCTTTTCCATTTTTTTGACATAGCTCACATGCAAATTCCTTGGTGGAATCCTGGGGATTAAAAAGACAAGTTTAAATTTTTTTAAGCAATTATACAAATTAGCGTAAAGTCAATATGGCAATCAGCAAAACTTTCTGAAAAGTGCACTAAAAAACATTGCTTTTGACTCAACCTGACATGTAGGGCACACTAGGACCAACATTCTGCAATGGCTGCACCGACAGCGCGATGAATAGTCATCAAAAGAAGAACCACATATCAAACACGCTCCGAGTATGTTTTCTTTAAGGCTTCCCACTGAGATTCTATGAAATGACATTGGGACAGATTAGTGGGAAGAAAAACAAATGAAACACTGAAAAGGAAGAGTTTGAGATTTGCAGGCTGTATCATTATGTACTCCAACCTGTGGTCAAATACGAAATTCTTTCCTTCAAAATAGCCACCATCTGGAAATTGTTCCAGATACCGCTGAATGCCACCATATAGCTAACATAAACAGTCATGACTCATGAACAATACAAATTACTTATCAGGCATGGATAAGTACTCAAGATTAAAGACAAGCCAAACAGAGTATAGCACATTACCTGAAAAACGTTCTCAAATCCTTCACCTTTCGAGCGAATATAAGCTGATGCCATCTCGCAGCGTATACCTCCTGTGCAGTACCTGTAATAAATACCAAACGTTAGTTAGGCTTCTTGCTTGGTGCTAGCAAAATACATTAGTCTAATTCAAGGTTAATTCAAAGATCCAGCCTGGTGTACATAAGAATAGATTTCCCACGCAGCTGCTCAGCATGCTCATCTATCCAAGAAGGCAGATCACTGTATTGCCTAATTTCCGGATCTAAGGTCTTCGCATTTGGCACATTGAACTTGCCGATCCGTGTCTCATACACATTCCTTGCATCCAAGACAACCAGTTCCTTCTTCTCCGCAGATGCCACAGCATCCAAACTAGTCCCAGCTAAAAGCACAGTCCAAGTTAGAAATTATACCAGAAATTGGCAGCCCAAACAACCATGGACAAGCGTCAGTCCGAGAATCCACTCACCAACATTCTGGAGCACCGAATGGAACTCAGCCGCCGACAAGTGTCTCCCAGCACTCGAAATCTCCGGTGGTGCCGACGTGGGGTTGGAGCACAGGGTAACTAGCTCCTGCCAATGCAGCAACAATTCAAAACCCAGTGATGGATGGCACTACCAGCTGGTCAAAGGTGAAATCATTCTGCTGGAAGCAGTGGCAAGAACCTTGACGACCCGGACGGACAGCGAGGTGAAGCCGCACTCCCTGGCGACCCTCTCGTCGACAGGGTCGTCGCAGTACGCCAGCTTGAAATCGGTGCCCTCGAACAAGGCGTTGGAGCTCATCTCCGTGATGTGCTTCTCCAGCGCGGCCATCCGCCCTCCGAGCTACCAACACCAAAATGCAGGGTCGGTGAGGTCGTGATGAATTCATTTATGCAGAACTCGATTTTCCCTGCCCCAAAGGCGCCGTCTACGATGCCGAAAAGATAGAGCAAGCGGGGGACATGTTCTCACCGTGGCGTTGACGCCGTCGGGGCCGACCCGAACGCGGCCGACGAGCGCGAGGCCGCGGCAGTGCGCCTCGTAGAACGCGGCGAGCGCGGCGGCGTCGGGCACCTCGGCGTACTTGTAGTAGAGAAGCACGCCGTAGCGATCTCCGCCTCCAGTTCCTGCATGCTGCTCCTGCTGCCCCGTCGCGTCCATAGCCAAACAGGCAAAAACCCTAGCTGCGGCGACGGCGACAGCGGCTCCGGCGGCGGCAGAAGGACGAAACGAAGATGACGAGAAGAGGAGGACAAGGTCGGGCCTTCAGCTAGTCTTAAAACGCCATGGGCCGGCCCAGCATGCATATGAGAAAGCCCAAGTTTCATCTCATTTAGTTGAAGGCCAAAACCTTAGCTCGGCCCACCTATCACCTTATCTTCTCTTCGCCCGCATTCCATTTCGCTCCGCGTCCCCACACGGCCACACCGAAAAACCCCCGGCAAGAACCTCGCTCTCCGGCGTCTCCGGTCACATACCCATGGAGGCCACCGCGGTGCCGCGGGCTCTGTCCCTCCTCGGGCCATCTCAGTCGCCGCCGCCGCCACCGCCTCGGATGCGTATGAACTGCTTGCGCGTAGCCATTGGAGGAGGTGTGAGGTGGCGGGGGGCCGTGGCAGTCTGGGCGAAGAAGAAGAGGGGGAGGGGCGGGGACGGCGAGGCGCAGGAGCGGGTGGACACGCACAGCTTCGCGCCCAAGGCGGGCGAGTCTGCTGGGCTGTTCCCCGAGGCCGTCCTGCTTAGAAAGGTTTGGTCTTTTTTCTGTTCATTCATTCCCTGCTAGGCTGCCTCTAGATGCTTGGGAGACGAGGAACAGGACATGGTTGCTTTCGTGTTTCTGCTTCTAGACTAGATTCTTCCATGAATGCAATGGTTTTGGTAAATGACTTGGCAGCAGCCAATAATCTGTGTAAGTAGGCCTTAATGTTGCGAATGGTGGATATGAGATTTTTTTAGGATAATTTAGTGTTATATGCTTGCGTCCGTGTGTAAACCTCTGTGATGCTTTAGCTTTCTTGTACAGTAACCATTGCCAATCAATACAATCTTCTGTTCATGACAACAGAGCCATTTTCCTATTAGAAATGAAATTTATGAACGAACAGTTAGTAGTACTCCACTAGAGGAAATAGAAAATAGAAAATAAATTATGAAGTTTGCCCAAGGCATACGAAACATTATGGATTTGGTCATTTGCTGTAGAAACAGGAGATGCTCTTAAACTTTGTATGGGGAAGATTGAAAGCTATTGCAATAGGCTAAACAACTACATGCTTTTCTTATTTCTGTTGTTTTGTAGAAAATGGTGAGAGAGGATGGTCAAGTGTCACCAGAATTTGCTGATGCAGACGAAGGTTCACTTTTCTGCTATAAAGTTTTTTTAGATGTCCATTTTGGTACTGTAAAGATCCTTTTATTGGTTCATGTGAATATTTTTATCATTCTAATCCTTTTTTTTTTTTTGCAGAAAAGCTGTATGATTTTCTTAATATTCAGCTAGAAAGTGATTTAAATCTGAAAAGAAGTAAGAGCTCTCTCCTTTCCTCTTCAGTCAAGCTATTTTTTCTATTTCTTCATGCTGGCATTACTTGCTTTTCATTTGTGCTGGCTTTCTGAGTTCAGCTTCAACTTTGTCCTTTTACAGTGCGTCACTATGAAGTAGTTTATCTAATTCATGAGGACCGTATTGAAGAAGTTGAAAATGTTGTATCAAAAGTACAAGGTGCGTCTCTCAACACTCGTCACTCGGACATCACTTGTGTATTGGTGAAATTGTTTTAGCACACTGGAGTCCTTTCTCTCTCTAAACATACTAACTAAGGCCTTGTTTAGATACACTCAAAATTCCAAGTGAAATTAAATGTGGTTAACTAATTGCACAATCTTTTGAGCTTAGTCCTTTATTTCTCTGCTAATTCATCGGGTTGAAATTTTTTTCAATCTAAACAAGATCTAAATGAGTTAGTCTTAATCACCTAAAGCTAAAGGAAAACTAAGGTACTTATATGTCATGTTCTGCCTGTAGGTTTGACACTCTTATAGGGACGTTCCCTGCTAAACTTGCTACTATCTGTCTGATTTGCTTTTTCTGATTTGCTAAACTTGCAATCTCTAAGGCAGGAAGGAAAATGTTGTTTCTCTATTCATTGTGGTGCACATGTTTCTATTATATTTGTTTCAATCAGCTAATATACCTGAGCCTATATTTTTTACATTTTATGGAATAGTCTAACAGTTTATCAATATACTACTGAAGAGTTAACATACAACTATTCTCTTTGTTCTCTTTTAGATTTTATCAGGGACAAGAAAGGAAGGATATGGAGGCTTAACAATTGGGGGCTGCGCAGGCTTGCTTACAAAATAAAGAAAGCAACACATGCCAATTATATTTTAATGAACTTTGAGATAGAGTCAAGATACATCAATGACTTCAAGACCCTGCTAGACAAGGATGAAAGGATCATCAGACATCTTGTTATGAAACGGGATGAGGCAATTACTGAAGACTGCCCTCCCCCACCAGAATTCCACAGTCTGCGAGCTCAACAATATTTTGATGATGAATATGAAGATGTGGAAGAAGAGGATGGGGATGCTAGGAGTGAGATAGAGTCTGCCAATTATGATGATGATGTTGAAGCCAGTGACGAGCCTGAAATTATTTATGTTGATGAAGCTGATCAGGATAATTACGAAGACACTAGAAGAAGGAACAGAGAGCTAAAGGTGAAGAAGTATACATCAGAGAAGGTATTGAGGTAGCATTAGTGTTTTCCCAGTTAGTTTAAGTCTTTTTAGTTCTTATACAAAGGACCACCTGTGTCTGTATGATGAGGAAGTTTCACTTAGGTGCTTTTTCTGGTGCCAAGGACCACTACCATGATAATGAGATAGGAATATGTGCTATGGCTGGTACAGCCTTTGTAAATGCCTTCTTTAGTGCACCTTTGTTTTTTTGTGTCACTTTATTTACCAAGAAAACCAAAAGCTTAAATACTATAATATTAGTTCGAAATACAGCCTTCTCTGACTGCAAATAAGGTATGAGTACACGCTGAGACCTCAAAAGATGCTTGCCTCAACCATTCAGTGGGAGGTGCGTGAATCTTTTAGCATTCCAAGAAGTAGCTAGTTGGAAGCAACCCTTTGGTTTATGCTTTAAATTTGTGCATCTCTTAAGTATTTGGAACATAAAAGCTCCTCCAATCTGTTGATCTGCAAGTTGCTGGCAGGCTTTGCTTTTTTGTTTATTTCTCTTTATTTTAGATGGCTAAATCCATGTGTGCTATAAACCTGCAGTTTTGTATTGGTTGGAGAGTCCGTATTTCTTTTGTTCACAACTGAACATGCTAGATTCATTTTATTACACCAAATAAACCAGCACCTCCTCATCACTAGTTCACTGGGTTTTTTGACGTGTACTTGACTAATTTTTCAAGCCAGGGAGCAGGGGCTAACATTCCGAACATTATTTACTGGAGGAACTTGTACTCTTATGTATTGACAAAACATGATCACATTGCCGACTTGATTCAGGGAGCAGGACTTGATTGTGAGGGGACCTTATGCAAACTTCATTAATGATCAAACCTAAGGAATGTTCAGACTGTTTTGTATTAATTGTCTCACAAGCTATAGACAGGATGAGATCTATCAAATGATCAACAACTAGCATTAAGTTTGGGAATCTTGCTCACTTCTCAGCTTACTTGTAGCATTTCACCTGCAAATCTTGAGATAATCATGCATCTGATCTGCTATTATTGAAGGAAACTCCTTGATTGATCAACCTATTGTCACCATTTTGTTTCATATCTTTCATATTATCACACCGATGAGCATTTATTTTGTCATCTCCGAGTTTTTATGTGATGGCCTGTGTTTGCTTGTTTTACATCTAGCTGCTCCATATTTCTGCAACCTCTTCTCTTTTTTTTTAAAGTAAGAGTTATGGGCACCTCATTTTCTTCTGCCGTAACTTGCTTTATGTTGCATCTAGCACTGCTATCTTGGGTTTCAGATAATATCGTGATCATGACTTGCATTAGCTGTGTATAGCCAGGGACTTGTTATCTGTACCTCACTGCTTGAGATCAGAATTAGAGGAATCTTCTTGATTGATCCGCCTGTTGTCGCTGTAATCTACTTCATGTTGCTGTAAGGACCACCGGCTGTTTCGCGTTGAATAATTCACCGAGTAGTTTGTACCATGGTCCATTTTCATGACTGATCATAACTCATCAGCCTAAGGGTCTCTCAACCAGTGTACTGCTATAGATGGCACATGCTCCTGTGTGTTCAATCAAACAGTGTGCCTATGATCTTGTAGCATTTATAGTTGCCAACCATTGCTGGCGGTTGGCTCTATCGCACTGCTGGTTTCAATAACGTTTAGTGGATTGTGTTTTGGCTTGCCCTCTACTTATTGAATCATAGTATAGCACTATAGCTACGGCCAAAGTGTCAGCTGTCTCTTTTTTATGTGCATAAATTTATGTACTGATGTGTGGCCGGCCATCCTAGCATGCTACCTAACGGATTCTCGCTGTTGGTGACCCCATCTCGTGAGGCTGATGTGCCATGGATCCTAGCAAACCTTGTGATGGGGAGGAATCTGGTGCAGAACTTTTAGTCATCAGTTCATCTGGAGTTCAATGGTTTCCATCCTGTGTGTATCATTTTATTCTTGAATTCGATTGAAGCCGTTCGTATGCGTAGTCGGTAATCTGATCTTCCAGTTTGTCGCCTGACAAACTGAGACACCAAACAAGGACAACGTCTGACTTTTGTTGTGTGAAAACAAGAAGAAAGGTAAAGGTTGCGCTCACCTGTTCCAAACTTCTGAAAAAAATTTCACTGCCTTTTCATCAAGAACTGGCTGAGCCAATGTGATGGATCGATCTGAACCTATGGTACCTCATCCTCAACCATCGTAGTTTCATTCTGACTTGGTACAGAGGATTCAGTTGGATTGCTTTTCCAGTTTGTCCTACGAATTAAAGCCGTTTCCCCTCTATGTGATGTGCTTAAATTCTTGTATCACACTACCTACCTAACTGTTTCTCACGAACTAGAAACCGACTGATGTCTATTTTTTACCCCACGTTTCATTTAGAGAATTGATTGATGGCCGTGTGACCGAACTTTCAATTTTGGTGGTCCCTCGATTAGAGGCATGGATCATGTGTTTGCTGGTTTCAGGGATTGATCATTTGATAATGTTTGCTGGTTTCAGGGGTTGATCATTTGATCCTCGACTAAAGTTCAAATAACAACGAAAAGCGCTACAGTTGCATTTTGCAAAAAATTTCGGATCTAAACTGGGCCTAAAGTTCGTCCTTGGCTCATCATTCGAACTGACCCAAACCAAGAATTCCATTGTTGCTTGCCATCGATGTGGTACTGAGCTCCATATATATAGATATGTAATAGTCAATTATGGTTTTTGTACGCTTTAGACCATAATAGCGTTTGTAGTCCAACGGTTAGGATAATTGCCTTCCAAGCAATAGACCCGGGTTCGACTCCCGGCAAACGCATATATTTCCGATAGAGTTTTTTTTTTTACTGTTTTATAAAAGCATGTTTTTTTCCTAGAGTTTTTTCTTTTACTGTTTTTCCGTCAGGGACTTGATATGATTTTTCTTTCCTAGACTAGAAGAGGTATTTTTCTCTTACTGTTTTTTTTTGGTCAGAGACTTGATATCGGAATTGACAGCATATATGGATGGACCAGTCAGTATCCCATATGAAAACGCACCTTTGGGAAGTCCACATTTTGCCTTTTAGTTGATTGCTTGCAGTTTCAACCCCGTTTCCCCTTCTGTCATAGTCACTGTTTTTTTTTATAAATATTTTTTTCGATATCAAATACGTATGTGATCTGTACAGCTTTGCATTCATAAGAAGATAAAGTAAAGAGAGATACACGCCGTACAGAAAAAGTAAGATACGCGACGCACATGCCCTGGCCGCACAAGAACAAGAGAAAAGATCAACCTAAATTCTAGGCCTTCACCTAGCATGGGACGCAATTACTCATAGACTAAGGGGGTGTTTAGTTTAGGCTACTAAACTTTAAAAGCTACTAAATGGTTTAGTCACTTTTAGTAACTTCAGAGTTACTAGAGAGGACTAAAATCGTTTTAGTCATATTTAGTCATAGTGTTTGGTAAAAAAGTTACTAAAACGACTAAAATCTACTAAATTTAGGAGGTGAACCAAACAGACCCTAATTAAGCAACAAGAATTTAGGATACTAATTACACCTCTATTTCACCGTTATGGTAGCATTAAATTTTCTCAACACTTGTCTTTCTCTGTGTGTCGATACGTTTTTCAAGTCAATCTGCAGAGGCTGGAGCCACCGAGCCATTCAATCTTATGTGTTCTCTACTAGTACGTGTCATTATATTGTGGGCCCAACGTACACAACACTTCCATCCATATTGCATTGTGCTTATCTGATGGACTTCAAAGGTCAGATAACTTCCTTGCATTTGGATATGCCAATTATTTTGAATTATTTTGGAAGCAGTAATAAAGTTGCAACTGACCTGGCTAAATAATTAATCCCCAGGCGTTTGTACGAGTGCATACTGCATACATGTGGTGCTGATGTATACGTGTGTCTTCTTTTATATGTATGTTCGAAAAAAACTAATTCGGATGGTTTTGATTTTTCGACAATGTGACGTGCCTTGCTGACCAGGATTCAGGATTGTGCTTTAAAGTTGGAACACTCTCTCCATCCAACAAAACACGTTCCTTTTAGGGTTTAAAATTTATCCTGTAAAACGTGTTACTGTGGCTTATAGAGACAGCGAGTGGGACCTTCGGTGTCAATTGCATCCCTTGTGCATACGTGTAATCATGTGATTTGTTTCCCTTCCAATTAATTAAGTAGATCATGCATGAGTGTGGTTAACTAAGGAAGATTGTATCATTTCTCATTAATTAACATAACAAACACATCAAAGATCTATCAGCTAAGTCTTTAAAAGGTGCTTACAAGAATGTGTACGGCCTCGTGCATTTATAAAGATGAGTGTGCATGCATATATGTAAACATTTGTGTTTATATTATGATTTAAAAAAGAAGTTAGTACAACAAACACTACAAAATTGCTGAAATAATTATAGTTAGGGGGGCACAGGCAAATTACCTTGCGCACTGATCCGTCTTAGAATTGCTAGACTAACATGTTTTTTTTGGCATATGGAGTAATTATTAATTGTAGTTAACGGTTATGAATTATATAGAAATTTTATTATATATACTGTATATATATGTTAGTTAACATAGAGAAGTGGAGAAAATATCTGCCACAATCATGAAAACACATACCTAGAAGTTTTAAATTTATTTGAATTAATATACATCCATAGTACATCTATAGATGTATATTGTAGCAAAAGTTAATATGCAAAATCATTTTCTAAAAATTCATATGAAAATAAGAAATTTTATGTGCGTATCTATTAAAGACAAAATCACAGAAATTTTATCTTCTAGTGTACACGATACGATTGCACACCAAAAGTTTAGCGAGCGTGGTAAGTTGAAAGTGGTAATAATTGGTCTCGTTAGGTATACCCTTTCATACGCAAGCGTAGCACGACCAAATAGCAATGCAAATTGTCCCTGAAGTTTCCCTTTTCTTCTTTAGTCTCTAAAGTTTCGATGTGAAAGTTTAGAAGATCTACGATGAAATGGCACACGAGGATAAAATTTTGACATGCACTAGAAAATGTAGCTATCG